AAACTTTTTTTTGTACTAAGATAACCTTTTTTGACTCTCTAACTCGAGTTGTTTAGAGTATAATTTTACATATAATTTTTGCTTTAAAACTGTTAAATTTTTTCTTTTAGCTGAGTTACATTTTTAAATTGTACAAAAATTGCAAAATTTTAATTCAGCTCAAAAGCATTTTATTCTTCTTTTTATGATATATTTATTCATAAAATTTAATTTAAAGTTAATATGTAAAGAAAGAAACATCACAGCTTCAAAGTTTATAAGTAATTCTATATGTTTTTGCTATAATATTATATATAAAAAATTTAGATGCAAATAAGTGTGACAAATTTGTTGACTGATATTGTGAATTAAGTCTTTTTAATATGACAAATCATATATAGATACTTATTAAAACAGTTGTATAATATTAACATGTTAGTTTTAGATGAATTTATATTATATTATACTTGTAACAATTTAATTTCTGATAAATACCAGTAAGATTATATTAGTAACAAAAGAATTTGTTAAAAACAACTATTATTTATATATTAATTATATAAAATAAGCTAATTAATTAGTTTAAACATATGAAAGAATATACTAAGCTACAATATATACTGCAATCTATTTTAAGTACTTATTATCCTTATAATAAAACAAAAAGAAAATAATATCATTATACAGTCTTTAAAAATAAAATTTATTATTAATCATTTGATTCTATAAGTTATAAATTTGTGTAATATTAAATTGTATTTAAATTAAATAGCATATATCAGATAGCCCAAAGATGTTTTTTGTATAACTATAAAGTTAATTTGATATTTAAAAATTATTAATTGGGAATCTGCATAGTCACCCTTTATAAATACATTCATCTTGGGACTATAGACAATATTTTTGACAATGTGCAGTTAGAGAGGGTGTGCATTTATGAAAGGATTTTATTAAGTGCACTACATGCATTGGACAAAAGTTTAGTGTGCAATTAGAGGGCAATATATTTATGGAGCGGTGCGGATCACTTCACCGACACTCATTTCGTAGGCGTAACATTTCACTGACAATCATTTTACTGACATTTTTGTTTGCAAACACTTGTTTCATTGACAAGTTCATTTCACCGACAATTTATTTCACTGAATCTCATTTTACCGACAAAATGACTCTGGTCATTGCCGTTAGGATCGGTTAGAATTAGAGATAGGGCCTGCATGGGCCTACTTTTGCCGGCCCGCAAAATAAAATTTATTATGTTTTTTTAAAAAAGTTTGGCCTGCATTTTACTATGTTTATGACATATCAGGCCCACAATTTTCTGAGATTTTTAATTTTTCCTACTTTGACTGAACAGTATATACGTTACTGCATAAGGTAGATAAGCATAAGCCAAATTTAATTTTATTATAATATGCGGCAATACAATAAATAAATCAATCAATTTTGTGACAAAAACCGAAATGTGATTGTATTATAATATGCTGCAATACAATAAATAAATCAATCAATTTTGAGACAATTTTTCATTTACCAAATTCTCAGTAAATTCCCAAAGTCTTTTAGCCAAATCACCATCCTCAGCAAGTGAAGATAGTTCGCATTCATCACCAAATGGTTCAAAATACTTTCCACGATAATTCTTTACATCGATTTCTGGACTTGTAGCACAATATAAAGTAGTAATAGCACCATCCTCAGGTGAGATTTTTGAAGCCAAAATACTTTCTTCCACAGGTAAGTAATTATTTCTTAACATATTTGTATCCACAGTTCCTAAATAAATAACAACAATAAAAAACAATATAATTGATTAATTAATTGGGATACTGGTTGATTAATTAATTAGTTAATTAATTGGTTGATTAATTGGTTAATTAATTTAGTGGTTTTAGATAAGTTTTAAAATTATTTTATTATACCTGGATGAATAGAATTAGCATATACTTGTTCTCCTTCAAGATATCGTTTATTCAATTCATTAGTAAATAAAATATTTGCAAGTTTTGAATGAGCATAACGTGACATTGCGTCCAGTGCATTTGGGTCATTTAATTTCTCGAATTCAAATCCACTCTCACGAGTAACTCTAAAATTAGCATGACTGCTAACATTTACTATGCGTGCTGGTTGTGAAGCTTTAATTTTTGGCAATAATAATTTAGTGAAAAGCTAACATTATAAAAAAAAAGATGGTTATTATAAATTTATTATTTAATAAGTTAATTAATTAATTAATTGTATAAGTTAATTAATTAATTAATTGTATAAGTAAGTTAATTAATTAATTAATTAATTAATTAATTAATTAATTAATTAATTGATTTACTTACAAAATGGCCAACATGGTTTACTCCAAATTCTTCTTGAATTCCATCCTCAGTTAACGAAAATGTTCTATTTTATTGTAATCATTTAAAATTTTTAAATATTCATACGGATATATGTGAAACTACAAGTGAAAAGAAATCATATTTTCACATGATTACTTACTTTGTAGTGATTCCCGCATTGTTAATTC